ATTACTACTAATACTGCTACTGCTACTATGACTACTGCTACTACTACTATTCGGCCGATACTTTTACTCCAATATGCAGAGCCTTATATAAAATACACAGCTTGAACCTTTGCACATTGTGTCATGTTTACAACATAAACAGATTTAATTCAGATTTTCTAAAACTTAAAGTTCACACACAACAGGCAACCGTGAGGTGAAAGTAAAACTGATCACATCTTCTGAAGGCCAAATAATCATGTGTTCAAGCCCCTACCCTCAGCTTATTCTGCAACTGCTCTTGTCACAACTCTGTAAAGTCCTCTGAGTCTACGGCTGTTGTGATTTAGGGCTACACGAAAATACATTGAAATGAATATATTGGGATTTAAACCGGGTTAAACTGGACCAGACTGCTTTGAGAGTTTAACACCAGGATGTTACGCAAAGATGGACCTCAGTAAGTTTGACGACGCACAGAAATCTATTACCGTTAGCCGGATCTCGCTAACCTCCGTGCCCTAAAGAAACAGCAACAATCGATGGGAACTGTTGACCTGAACTCACGCCAATGCCTCAGTATCAACAAACACCTAAACTAAACATAAAAACTTAATTACTAAACTAATTTCTTACCCTCATAACTTCATACTTTCGTCCGTGTCCGTGTTTTATGAAATTATCTTGTGTTCATTCTATTGCAATAAATCATCTTGTATTCTGCGGCATTCGATTTCAAGATGCTAGCACTGGATCCGAGCCGAGTTAGCCTAGTTTTTCAAGTTCTGGTAACCATAGCAACCTCTATTTTTAGCAGTTAGCATAACTCACTCTTTCAACTAACTATTTTCTCTGCATTTCAAGTACTTTCTACCAGTTTTAGCGCTTGTTCTCATATTCTTACGTTCTTTTCTCAAGATTCCGGTTCTGATTCCGAGCCGAGTTAGCTTGGTTTACCGCCCGAGAAAAGGCGGCGCTAGCTACCATAGCAACACACTGCTTACTTGCTAGCAGTTAGCATCAGAAACTATTCGACAAACTGTTTTTTTATATATGTATGTATGTATACTGTACATGTAAGACTGACCAAATAGAAACACAACACAGATGTTTCTAAAAGCTGAGCATTGCCCCACGCCTCCAAAACCCATCGTGGCGTGATGCGAGCCGTTTAAAACCCCCTACACCTAAATATATCGCAATTTCACGCTGCTAGTTATCATCTCATTTCGGGCAATCTCCCTTAATTCGTTGTCTGCGGCCTCACGCTGCTCCGGTCTCCTCGCGGTCTCCGAACAGGCAGGGCTTGGGCGCGGTAGGAGCGGAGAGGCGGGTGATAAATGTGACGTGACAGTGGCGCCGTGTGAAGGAGGCCCTCGTGGTCGCGCCGCAGCCCTCTCGCCAGCTGCGCGCGCTTTAGCTGCTGCTTCTTAAGTCGCAATTACAGCCAAGAACCTGCACCGCCCTGATGCGCCGCGCAGACACCCCCGCAGCCCGCCAGAGCACGCCACATGTGCAGGTTAGCTTCTGTTAGCTTCTGCTGCCACTGCATACACACACACAGAGCTGAAAGGCCCGTACTGTGCAAAATGTGTGAGCTGTTGGCCACGCTTCAGCAATAACACTAAACTCCCATAGCAGTCAATTTGACGGCTTTTACTGTACTTTAGTAAGCATAACTGACCTGCGTAGTAGTAGTAGTAGTAGTAGTAGTAGTAGTAGCAGTATTAGTAGCAACAGTAGTAGCAATAGTAGTAGCAGTAGTAGTAGCAGTAGTGGCAGTAGTAGCAGTAGTAGTAGTAGTAGTAGCAGTAGTAGTAGTATAGTAGTAGCAGCAGTAGCAGCAGCAGTAGCAGCAGCAGCAGCAGCAGTAGCAGTAGCAGTAGTAGTAGCAGTAGTAGTAGTAGAGTAGCAGTATAGTAGTAGCAGTAGTAGTAGTAGTAGCAGTAGTAGTAGCAGTAGTAGTAGCAGTAGTAGTAGTAGTAGCAGTAGCAGTAGCAGTACTAGTAGCAGTAGCTGTAGCAGTAGCAGTAGCAGTAGTAGTAGTAGTAGCAGTAGTAGTAGTAGTAGTAGCAGTAGCAGTAGCAGTAGCTCACTGTATAGATGTAAATGTTTTTGCTAGTGCCGTGCTCCGTCCTCAAACACAGCAGAAAAACAAATCCATGTTTATGAAGTAATTAAAAGTATTCAACAAGTGATGTAGAAATATCAGCGCATTCTCCCTGCCCCTCAGGGCGCCAGTTATTGGATGAACATTCTGCAAAAAGACGCAAAAAGATAAATAAATAATCCGATTGTGGAGCCCCATCGGTTGCCTCCGCCGCTGTGTATTGATGATATGTTTTGGAAATTGCTGAGCGAGCTTATTGTTAGCGTCTGGGAGAAATAGCCTCCCCCTCCCTCCCCCCTCTCCCTCCCCCCTCTCCCTCCCTCCCCTCTCCCCCCTCCCTCCCCTCGCTGCAGCCGACAGATGGAAAACACGGAAAGGCATGTAATGTAGTGTAATGTAATCTGCAGAGAGAATGCGCCTCTTCCGACTCCGCAGACCGATGCAGCGAGGCTCGCAACATCTATCAGCATCGCCTCGGCATCGCCACGGTAACGCCAGGGACTCCCACAATTCTGAAAACATATTTTGGTAATAATGTTTGAACCTAAATCATTTGTTGTCAAAAAACTGTATTAAAAGCATTAAAAGAAACTCATATCTGTAGCTGTAGTGTTGGGTTCCATTCCCCCTCCACACAGGGCCTTTCTGAGTGCAGTTTGCATGTTATCTTCGTGTCTGTGTAGGTTTTCTCCAGGTGCTCCGGTTCCCCCTACCATGCACTAGAAATATGTACAATAGGTCTGGGGGTTGTAGGTCTCCACACAGAAAGTCCCACTTAGAGTTCAGACTCTCTTTTTCATGAGTCCTGCCCCAAGAGAGAGGGGGGACACCGGAGCACACGGAGGAAACCGAAGCACACGGAGGAAACCGGAGCACACGGAGGAAACAGGAGCACACGGACGAAACCGGAGCATATGGAGGAAACCGGAGCACACGGAGGAAACCGGAGCACACGGAGGAAACCGAAGCACACGGAGGAAACCGGAGCACACGGAGGAAACAGGAGCATACGGAGGAAACCGAAGCATATGGAGGAAACCGGAGCACACGGAGGAAACCGGAGCACACGGAGGAAACCGAAGCACACGGAGGAAACCGGAGCACACGGACGAAACCGGAGCATATGGAGGAAACCGGAGCACACAGAGAAAAGGAAACCTGAGACAAAACCTACACAGACACAGGGAGAACAAGCAAAGAGAGGCCTAGAGGTGGAATTGAACCCGAGAAGAGAGCGTGCTAACCCCTTAACCTTAATCTTAATCTTTATTATTTAAATCCAGCTACAATTTAGAATATATTCAATGTATTTCAGGCAGTATGAAGACAGTTTTCTGACTACTAATAATAATAATATTAAGACAGATTTAAGTTCATAAACCACAACAAAAGCTGCCTCCCTTGAAACCGTATAATCACATACATTGACTAACTCGTTAAAACTATTCTCAACAACATAATTAATCAGAGTTTGGACTAAATATAGATCTTCCTCTTCCTCTGAATCTTGCAGGAGGCAAAAAGGCGTGGACAGAAATAAAGTAGGTTTGCTGTGGCCCGGAGCCTGTTTTCGAGAGCGCTTTTATGCAAAAACAACTGTAACCAGAATAATGCCGATCTGTGCGAGACCCCGCTGAGCCCGAGTCAGGGAGGGACTCACTTTTAAAGCTGGAGGTGAAGGAACGGGAGGAGTCAGAGAGAGGTGAGGATTTGACCCAGTTTTAGAGCGACCAGTGAGGTTCCAAGTCCAAAAATCTCTATGTTGTTCAGAGAAATTGAGAAAATACCTACTTTACATGTCATTTCTCCATTCAAAATATTGCAGTCTCACAGAAGGACGTTTGAGGGTTCTATTCCCATTCCTCTCTGTGTGAATGTGTGTGTGGGTGGGTTTCCTCCGGGGCTCCTGTTTCCAGCTCGACCCAAAGTATATTAGCATGGGTCCTAGGGTGCCGGACTAACCCAGAAACCAGAAAGTCCGATCACGTTAGTCCAGTTCTCAGGTCTGCGTACAGGTCTCTCCAAGGCCTGGCTTAGACCAAAGTACAGCCATGACATGTTAGCGCCTCCTGCTGGCTCTGACACAGTCTTTCTGAAAATGTGAGACCGGCCTAAACTCCTCAATCAAGTACTTTCGGTTCTTACTATTGATTTCAAACTTTCACCACACACTAAAATCTAGCTTTGAAAGATTTATCCACGGATCAGACATTAATCAGGATTGCACCATCCAGCTAACTTATCGATCAATCAACTTTTATTTGTTGTTTTTAACCTGGATTTGAAAACTGCCAGAGAAGACGCCAGCCTCACATTTTCAGGAAGATTGTTCCAGGTTTCAGCTGCATAAATCTGAAATACAGCCTCCCCAGGTCTCGGTCTGACGCAGTGGGAGGTAATCCTGCATTGAAGGTTCGACACAGGGAGAACATGCAAACTCCACTGGACCTGTAGCAGCTCAGATATCATTGTACCAGTGTTGCAGTAGTGTCGGGACGGTCCAGATCCAGGCCACATCCAGACCCAGGCTCTGTGGGACGGTCCAGATCCAGTCCAGGTCCAGACCCAGGCTCTGCGGAACGGTCCAGATCCAGGCTCGGTGGGACGGTCCAGATCCAGGCTCTGTGGGACGGTCCAGATCCAGGCTCTATGGGACGGTCCAGATCCAGGCTCTATGGGACGGTCCAGATCCAGGCTCTATGGGACGGTCCAGATCCAGGCTCTGTGGGACGGTCCAGATCCAGGCTCTGTGGGACGGTCCAGATCCAGGCTCTGTGGGACGGTCCAGATCCAGATCCAGGCTCTGTGGGACGGTCCAGATCCAGACCCAGGCTCTGTGGGACGGTCCAGATCCAGACCCAGGCTCTGTGGGACGGTCCAGATCCAGGCTCGGTGGAGACTTTCTGTTTGATGGTGTTTATGGCCATTTAGACGTTCAAACTCGAGTCTAGACATTCCCTGGAGACGAGCTTCCATTATGACGGCCGAGTGTGTGTGTGTGTGTGCGTGCGTGTGTGTGTCTGTGTGTGTGTGTGTGTGTATGCGTGCGTGTGTGTGTCTGTGTGTGTGTGTGTGTGTGTGTGTGTGCGTGCGTGTGTCTGTGTGTGTGTGTGTGTGTGTGTGTGTGTGCGTGCGTGCGTGTGTCTGTGTGTGTGTGTGTGTGTGTGTGTGTGTGTGTGTGTATGCGTGCGTGTGTGTGTCTGTGTGTGTGTGTGTGTGTGTGTGTGTGTATGCGTGCGTGTGTGTGTCTGTGTGTGTCTGTGTGTGTGTGCGTGCGTGTGTGTGTCTGTGTGTGTGTGTGTGTGTGTGTGTGTCTGTGTGTGTGTGTAATGGACAATACTTGTGTTGTTCCAATACAAGGAGGTCAATGGTGAAAAGACCCGATATCAAAAGTGATTCTATGATTAAAAATGTGTCATATTTAGACAAAGTAACAAGAATAATACTTTTAGAATAGACAGATGTTTTATTAAGGTGTCCAGCAGCAGAAGACTCGGTTTGATAAAGTCCTCAGAGAAACTACTGTTGTGATTTAGGCCGATACAAAGACAAACTGAATGGACATAGAAGCCCTTGGTCCATAGGAAGCGGGACGACCACCTGGGTTCGAATCCCGGTCGGAACGGGGCCTTTTATGAGTGAAGTTTACATGTTCTCCCCGTGTCTGTGTAGGTTTCCTCCGGGCGCCACTAAAAACATACCCAATAGGTCTGAGTGTATTGATGGTGTTTGGTCGGAGGCTTTGACGGACCAGAGTGTGTGGAGTCTGAACATTGGTCTGTTAACTCAGTGACTGCCATTGATTAATCTGATGTCGGGGATTTTTGTCAAACCTCCCCCTTTTTGACTGGAGATTACAGAAGAACAAAACTAGATAGAAACCAACTTATTTTTGCTGATGGAAGTAGGCAGTTCAGTCTTTCGGAATCTGGTTTCATATTTCACATAGTCATAGCGCACAATATTCTGTGGGTCTTGAAAATCAGTGAAATCATCAAAAACGGCTGTCAGTGTCAATGTGCCATATTAATGAACAATGCTTAGTTACTACTATAAATATCCTGGATCATCACTGGCCTTAGACCCTCCTGAATCTGCAAGGAACCTCTAAATAAAACCCAGTGGAAAAAAAAAAAGTGAGAAACCTCGACCTACACCGAGAGAGAACCCGCTCCCACTGACGAACAGGCCGCAACAGGCACTAAATATGGACTAAAATCCAACTCTTCATAGATTCTCATGATGTTAAAGCACTTCTCTTTAAGCCCTCGCTCTCGGCACTCGTCGGACCGGAGGCTCTAATCGCACCCTTGTCTTTATGGAGTCCTTCCACCGCCGCCGTCTCCGAGCGTTTACGAGCCCTCATCAGCTCCACAGGTGGCTATTGACATTTCTATACAAGCCGCCATCACCATTAAAGAAGGCCGCGTCGCCACCTACTTCTGGCTTTATCACAGCGCGGCACTAAAAGGTAAATGAAATGTTTGTTCCGGAAAGTCCCCACGGATGTCTCTGGTCTTCGGGCTCGCTGTGCAGAGATCGCCGTTCGAGAAGCAATTGTTGGCGTCGGAGAAATTAAGAAGCGCATTAGAGAAGTTAATGGAAAATTAGAGTTTGTCGGGCTTTGAGTTCAGGTTTTTAATGGGACAAGTCTGCGTTTCTATAATCACAGGTGTAGTTTATGTCTCGCGACTTCCCCGACTTCAGACATACACAGAGAGAAGAATCGATGAGACTTTCTTTTGCAAATGCAGGAAGTTTAGTTCTGCACCTGAGAAGTTTTCAGACACTTGCAAACGGAATTACAACGCTTGATTTAACAGATTCAAAGTAAGTAAGTAAGTAATCTTTTATTTATATACCGCCTTTTCACTGCAGATCTGAGTCTCAAAGCGGTTTACAATTGTTAATTTTTGGGCATTTGTCTCTCACTCCACACAGAGATGGGAGCGGGGCCAGTACAGGAGGCACATGCCAGAACTATTGGACATATTTTTAGTGGTAGGGGAAACCGGAGTACCCGGAGGAAACCTACGCAGACACGGGGAGAACATGCAAACTCCACTCAGAAAGGCCCTGGTCCGACCGGGATTCGAACCCAGGACCTTCTTGCTGAGAGGCGAGAGTGCTAACCACTCAGCCACCGTGCCGCCCACAAAGTGAAACTGGCCTTGAAAGTCTAGTTTGAAAACACTTTATACATGAGACAGAAAAGGGACAATCACCTGTGTCATGAAAAAGCACCTGTCAATGCGTATTAAAGCTGGGGAACCTGACTTTCTTCGTAAAACTTCCTCAGGGTGCTTGCTATTTTTCCAAATTAAAATTCCAGACTTTTTTAAAACTGTTTTTTTTTTTTTTCCCAGGACCTTAACTTTATGTGCTTGTGTGTCAACTGCCTCTAGGCTCGCTGTGTGTCAACAGACCTCGGCAGTGACATCACAAACATGTGCCAGACGAGGCTAAGCTAACGTTTATTAGGCTAATGCAGTACGTGACCAGTTAGTACAATTATAGATTTGTAGCCTACCTCCCTATTTCTGAGTTCACAAAGTAATTAGAGTAATTAGAGTCCAGTAAAATTCTACCATACATTTTTTTACCCCATACTTTATTAAGACTTTCACACAAAAATCTCAAGGTCTGGGAAGCAGTGTTTCAAAATTCCATACTTTTTAAGACTTTTAAGACTTGCGCAAGAACCCTGTTAGTTTTTATAAATAAAAAATAAATGGTGAAAAAACATACGCTGCAAAATCTGATGAGTCACACTCGGGGTGAGAGCTGATTGGCTGAGTCTGGATTCTCACTTTTCTGTCTGAAAAAATGGATCTAAAGTTGTGACTAGGGACCAGGACCAGTTACAGACTGTATCCTACAGTTCTAGTGTTGTGGTCTCAAAGTTACGTACCCCAGCTTTAAATCAAGCTCTACTTGTCTCTCCAGGGTGTCGCACCAGGGTACATCTGTGACATGTTAGTGCCATATGAACCAATGAACCGACTCGGACTCTGAGGAGCACAGGGACTGGCCTCCTGCTGGGACTCTGAAGAGCACAGGGACTGGCCTCCTGCTGGGACTCTGAGGAGCACAGGGACTGGACTCCTGCTGGGACTCTGAGGAGCACAGGGACTGGCCTCCTGCTGGGACTCTGAGGAGCACAGGGACTGGCCTCCTGCTGGGACTCTGAGGAGCACAGGGACTGGCCTCCTGCTGGGTCTCTGAGGAGCACAGGGACTGGCCTCCTGCTGGGACTCTGAGGAGCACAGGGACTGGCCTCCTGCTGGGACTCTGAGGAGCACAGGGACTGGCCTCCTGCTGGGACTCTGAGGAGCACAGGGACTGGCCTCCTGCTGGGTCTCTGAGGAGCACAGGGACTGGCCTCCTGCTTAGACTCTGAGGAGCACAGGGACTGGCCTCCTGCTGGGTCTCTGAGGAGCACAGGGACTGGACTCCTGCTGGTCCCAGAGTCAGGACTAAACATGTGGAGGCAGCGTTTCAGATTCATCCATCCATTCATTTTCTTCCCCTTAATCCATTTCTGGGTCAGGGGGTGGCAGTCAGAGCTGCACCCAGTCACAGAGCACCAGCCCCTCACTGATCCTCCTGCAGGTGCTGAGTCCACAGGAGCTGAGATCTTTCAGTGGGGGCTTCGGGCAAAGTGGGGTTAAGTGTCTTGCCCAAGGACACAACGACAGCAGTCATCAGTGGGAGTCGTGAAGTAGGTCTTATGGTGGGCTTGAACCCACGACCTTCAGGCTCAAAGGCCAATGCTCTACCAACTGAGCTACTGTCGCCTGTTTCAGATTCATTCAGCTAAAATCTCGGACAGTCTTCCTGAAAATGTGAGACAGTTCTGTTTCTCTGTGCTGCAAATGAAGGATTTTATCTTGTTTTAACGTAATTATTTATCAATCCCACCACCGCACTCTCTCTACAGTCTCTCTCATTGAATCTCAACACCCAACATGTCGCCTGCCGTCCTCCCTCTCCATCTCTTCTTCTTCTTCTCTCTCCGCTCTCGTAAAATAACCATTAAACAATTTCCAGACGTGTTGCTGTGTCTGTGGTTCGGACAAAAGTGCCTTTTATTTCCGAACGGAGGCCGAAACTTCCCATCGTCGCACTCAGCACTTATTTGATGGTGCCATTTTGACTGGAGCGTGATCCGCGGCTGCAGCGTTCTGTGGTGTATGAGCCACGTAACTGCAGCTGACACTAAACCCACTCCAGTCACCGTTACAAAACCAGCCGCAGGAGCCGACGGAAACGCACACGGCAGCTCATCGTATCGAGCACTGGGACCTTTTCACACCGGGGAAGTCACCGGAGAACGTGGACGCTGTCTTCAGAATTACTCTAGAAATGCAGGGCTTCTCTCCCAGTGCCGTCGCGGCTGGATTTGGTTCAATAGAAAGTACCAGACCATTATTAGAAATCTCCTCAAGGAACGAGTTCTGCACTGTCACTATGGGCTCTATGCACGCTCCACTTAAAGGACAACTCACCCTAAAATCCACTTTTTTTTGCTGATAAACGGTATAAATGAGTGTCCAATAGGGTTGTCTACATATCCTGGTCATAATCGTGTCACTTTGGTGCAAATTAGTTGAAAGTTAGACTTTCTGCCTAAAACCGTCTGTGAGGCGCCATCTGCTGGCGACCTGTATTACTACATTTGAATTTTGAATCTGGCGCCAACACTGGCACAGAAGTTGGACCTGACGTCTGCAAGTTGGACCTGACGTCAGCAGCCCCCCGCCCAGAGCAATGTAAACGGCCCAGTCTCGTTCACGCCCCCTTTAGTCCTCCAGGCCACGCCCATTTAGAGGAAGATTTGAACAGGAAATGTGAGTAACGTAAGCTCCGAGGAGCGGGGGTGAGAACCACTTTAAACAGCTGCAAGTCCCA